CTATAGAAGTTTGTTCTTTTCCTCATCGGGTAAGTAGTTGCGCCAGAGGTGTTCCAAATCTGGTAAGGCCAATTCTTTACCACAGGTCCCTTTGTATTCACTACATTACTCACCACTTCCAATTCTAGTTACTACCTGGTCATCCTCCCAAACAAGATCACCAATGCCGCCTTAGGGGTTGTTGGTGCTACTTTGCCAATCACAGATTTACATGCACAACCTTTGTGTAATAGAACCTTCTGTAACAACCACTGTTACACATAGTGCCAACTACTCCACAATGGACCTTCTTCCGGAAATTCCTAATTTAGACCTGTATTCACTTGGACTTCCCACGGCAGATACTTCCAAATATTCGTAGATAAATGTACCTACTAGGACTTGAACCCGAAACCCGCTCGTGGAGGGTTGGGTGCCTAGACCACTAGGTCGCGGGATCCCAACCCTATGTATAATTATATATATAATATACAATACATATTTAATTAACATTTATATAAAATTATTTTATACTATATTAAGATCATTACATAGTAGCAATAGAAGAATTGAGCCTGAATTATTTAAGACTATGCAATATTATTCTCTGTTGGATGAGCATTCCCGAGTGCAGATAGTCATTTACAAGCATGTTTATAGTTCATTGAATAAAAGAATATAACTGGTAGTCTTTCTATGCATAATAGAAACGACTACTAGAAATTTTTTTCAATATCTATAAACGTTAAAGAAAAATCAGGAACAGGCTTCGAACCATTTCTGGGTAAATTATTACCACCAAAAGAAGGTTGATGGAGTCTTCCAAATAAATTGTTAGCATTGTTAACACAATATTAAAATAATGCATATAACTATAGATTTCTTTCTTTAGCAAATATTCATATAAATAGTTCTATTTCCATACTGGTGTTACCCGATATAACCATTTATGGAAGGGTAAAGATTGGAGAAGAAGTTTTCAGATCTACTTTTCGAAAAGGTATAAAAAGTTAGCAAAAATACTTGCAAAATTTATATTGAACAACATATCAACTGACATATTTTCCGGAGTTGCTCAATATTACTTTGAGCATGTAGTACAGCTACCAGAAGGTCCAAAGAAATATACGTTGGCTTTCGTTTGGTGGTATAAAGCTGTTAAAAATTCTAAAACAAAGTTCCATTGTGAAGTAGATGGTATTTGTAATATCGAATCATGGAATAGGGAGTTCTATAATTTAAGTAAAGATTGTATAATCCCTATACATAATATTTTAGACCACTTTATTTTCAGTACCATCAAAGTCAGAATAAAAAATTCTAGAGAATATATGTCAGTTATTCTGTTGAATAGAAAATTTCATATTTAATGTACTATTTATAACATATAATATATTTAATTCATATTATATACATACTATATATATAGTATTATTATTATTTTTTTTTTAATATTAAAAGGTGAGGCCTTGCTTATATTTTTATTGAGTAATTTATATAAGTAATCATAAAGAAACAAAACTGAATGAAGACTTAATTCATATATGAATGAATAAATATAAACTACATGCAAGAATAAAAGCTCAGACTAATTTATTTGTGATCTAAACCTACTAGAGTGGTCAAAGCTTACCTAGATTTGAATAGTTAATATATTATTAGTGGGAATACTGAACTGGATCCACAAAGAGGACCAGATAATAAATTTAAGTTTAGTGAGCCCGGCTGGGGGCAAAAAAAGGAATCAGAATGTAGTTGATCAGATAAGTTGCATAAACAGTTATATATGAAGGTGTTATGAGTTCTAGTATATAGACAAGTAGGAGATCGTTGACTAACTTGAATAGAAGTAGAATTGGATGATATTAGATATGCTTTTTCCAAGTAGAAAAGTTAATACAGTATAATTTCTATATTTGTTCATAGATTTGATTAGAAATTTTGATAAGAATTTTGATAATTAGTTGTGAAGCTATTAAATAAGATATATCAAATGGTAATATGTATTGAATAAGCGAGGAAGGAATAAGGCCTTTAAGAGTAGAATGAAGAGAGTATGGATAGAGAGTAGAAGGGTGGAGAGAGAAAGAAGGGTGAAATGAAATTGTATATATTAAGTAATTAAGTTTATAAGAAGCAAGGTCAAGATTGGCATTCAAGATAGTTTCTGAAATAGAGAAATTAATAATTTGGAATAAGAGGTTATAGTGGGAGCAAAGATACCAGTGAGAAGAAAAGTCAAAAAGATTACATTGAAAACAGTTAGAAGATGGAAATAGATTAGGTGAAATAGAATGAAAATGAAAGTGTGTAGGTAGACTATTAAGTAATATTTTAATTTTAAAAGATTTAAGGTGACTAAGTTTAAGATTAGTAAAATTGTGTGAATGTTTATGATTATTGTTAAAGTAGAGCTATGTAGAGTTCCAGTCAATAAGGTTGGAAAAGTGTGACCATTTGTCAGTATGTCTTTGGAAAGACTACATAGAGATAGTATTAGCATTGCAGATATTTTTAATAAAGCATCTAGAAGGGCTATCAATTAAGAAGTTTTTTCATTGAAGAAAGAAAGAAGGGTTATGTATATTAGAATAGTTAAACAATAGGATTGGAGAAGAGGTATGATTATTAGCAAGATGATCAGCTAGATTATTGAAAGTGTTATCAACTAATTAGATATTTATTTTTGCTAGCTATAAATAGTAATATTTATTAAACTTATTAAAAAAGATAAGTTTTTTGTATTCTTCAAGAATTCAATAACAATTTGGTATCAATTCTGTATTAGCTCACATTTTCTGCATTTTACTAACTCAACTTGAACATGAATTTTTTCTCTGCTCTTTATATATACACTATTCTCCTATTGTTATATTCCTAATAGGATTAGCTAAAATACAATTTATGGAACCTTTAAAGCATATACAATCTCTGCTATTATCATTTCAAGTCATCTCTCATAATATTCTTCTAATTAAGAAAAGTTTTGTTTATTGTAATCAAAAATGCATATAAATATAAAAACTACTATTATTTATATATATATATATATTAGCAAAATATAATGAAAATCTATTTTAAAATAAGAATATATCAAGTTAAAACTAAACTAACATGTGGATATTGACTAAAGAATCTATTTATTATGTTAAGTTTGTATTACTTAAAAAAATAATAAAAGAATAATCAATTATAACTCTGACAAAACAAGTAATAAATCAAATATTTGAAACAAATATTACACTAGTAATACTAACTAATATTCTAAGACTTAATTTGTTATTAGTTGTATTTATTTATAAAAACCAAAAAAATTTATAGTGTGAGTATTTAAAAGTTTATTCTTAAATCTAAGAAATTTAGTAAGAAGGATCTGAAGATTTTGATAAAACAAATAAATATTTAGTATAATATAAATTTTAATTTTAAATATTATAGTTTAAATTTTACTATTATTCAAATTGTATTAAATTTTAGAATTTTAGTTGCTTATAAAATAATTTAAAATTTATAACTACAATAATAGCTCTCTATAATAGTGTGTAACTACAGTAAATACATATAATCAAAACTTTAACATAACTATAATTAGATATTTCAGTACTAGCCTATAATCTAAATTCAAAAATGTAGCAAAGTGTTGATATCAAATATAAGCAAATTCTATCTATTATGTCAAAATCTGTACTACAACTATTTTAAGTAATTTTAAAGGTCATTAATTGAACAAGCACTAATCAAATAATACCTTGTGATATTATAAAAGGTTTGTTATATTTTTAGAATTGTATTATCTCAGCAAATATTCATAATATGTAACAGTAAATATATTAGCCAATACATTATCATTAGCACATTAAATACTCATGTCAAATTTTTAATATTTAAAATATTACATGAGCTATTTACAAATTAGTTCTTTTAGAATATATAACTAATTAAAATTTAAATACAAAATCCTCAAGACAAATTAAAAAACATGCTTTTAAATCTGTTTCATATTATTCTTAAGTCCAAAGAATTAATACTGCGAGAGGTGTTAAATTTCAAAATCTATCATTTTTGTATAATAATTAATGATATAATATTCATTTATAGGGGTGGATTAGTCTGTCCCGGTCTCTAATAAGAGGTCCATTAATGTCTTTCAGTTCAGTCTTGGTCCCAAAAAAGGTCCTTAATTATTTAAACCTATAACCATTTTATTGACTAGCAGAGAGCGTTAATTCATATGAGCGATCATGTAACATAATTTTTAATACCTTTAATTAGTTATTTTAACTATTGAAGACCGGTCCGAACTCGTCTCACGAATAGCCGTAAGACTGGTTAAAGAGACCAGCCCTTATTCGGTCTTTTCAGAACTGATCCATCCCTATACACTTGTGTAACAATACGATCATATTAAAAAAAATTGGCTAATTGTTTTATATCGATATTAGCTGATCAATCATCCCAAAGTAATGTATGTACGGACCGGACAATGTTCCACCGCCGGGTTTGCAAATGGACGGTATTATACGATAAATTACAATTAATATATTATCCAGCATTTCGTAAGCTATTGTTAAATTTTGGCTAGTATTAATATACCGAAGGCTTCAAACGTAGATCGTTAAAAAACATGAAATACGAACGTGGTTGCCTGGGACATCGGAGAAAATTTACAAGCATATCGGCGAATTTACGGAATTGACCTAAATTAAGGTCCATATATTTTAACATTGTGATTGTAAAATTGACACCAAAATTTCAGCTACGTATTATGAATTCTGCAATTGTTAAATCCAGGGACCCTAATTAGATCGATTCCGCAAATCTGCCGATATGGATAAGAATTTTACCGGATAAATCATTGAAGGTCCGTTTAATTAAAGTAAATACTACAATTGGTTAATGTAGGGTTGTTGTACACGAGTGAAAGGAAAATAATTCAGCCACTGAGTATACGCATGTATGCATTTATAAATTGTGTTAGCATTACTTTTAGTTACTTGGGAAAAAATAAAAAAAAAATCGAAATGGCTCAAGACTCAACAGATATTAGAGAAACCATTGGAGCTCTTGACGATTATGTTCTTCTGGGACGTAGTGGTCTGAGAATTTCCCCTCTATGCCTTGGCGCATTGGTATAACAATTAATTTCTAGTAACATTATTATTTTATTTTTTTTTAACTCAAAAATTTTTTTAACGATTCAATTTAAGACTTTTGGCGAAAAATTTGTAAGATTTTCTTTACATGTGTGTTCTATTAATATGAAAGTCATGTGCGCAAACATTTCATTTTGTTTCATACATTGAATAGGGAATAGGATCGAATTATGAGGAGAGTAAGAATGTTTTCGACTATTATTATGAAAAAGGTGGAAATTTCATCGGTATGTTTAAAGCATATGTGTTCTATATAGCGATAGATAATCGGACCCGCAGTAATTGTTGACCGATTAGCAAGTTTGAATTTTTTTTCGTCCTTTTTAATCAGCTTTTGCTAATAAAAAATGTTAAAAAAAGTTATAAATATTTAATAATTTTGTTAATTTGTATTAGTTCGATATGAGTCCGATCTAAATTTATTCACAACCATCTAAAGTGCTCAAAAACTAATTCAAAGTAATCAATAAACTTAACAAATCAGTTTTCATAACTTGGCCGGGTCAAAGTTTATAAAATTTATAAAAAATTTCAAGCATATTTACTATATGGGTGAGTTTTTTTAAAAAAAAAAAATCTATAAAAGAATTTATATATTTTTTATATATACTGTATAAAATTTTTTTGAAATAAAATTAAAAAGCATTAAGTACAGATTTTAATTTACTTTATATTTGATATTTAGGTATACACATATAACTAAAATTTCGTGTTGAAAACTTTTGTTTAGAAGTCGAACTACGGTTATCATAGTAAAATGAGTTATTTACGATTTTTTATTTCTCAATGAGAAAACAGAAAAATCGTAAATAACTCAAGATTTTACTATGATAACCGTAGTTTGGCTTCCAAACAAAAGTTTTCAGCACGAAATTTTAGTTATATGTGTATACCTAAATATCAAATATAAAGTAAATTAAAATCTGTACTTAATGCTTTTCGATTCGGTGATCGGCATAACCTGGCACAGATTTCAGAAGTGCATAATAAAAGAATAAAGCTAAACTAATAAAATAATACATAAACTCAATACATGTGAGAATCCAATTCTTATTATAAACTCTAAACTAAGACAGCGAAGGTTCTAAATCATCGTTTGAGACTAAGTCTGAAGAAACTTAACTAAGACGGAAATTCAGGCCATAAATACCTTTTACTTTCCTAAGAGCTACTGCGCTATCTTTAATCTCAACCTTCTAGTACAATCAACACTGTGAAGCAGCGTTGTGCGCGGGCCGCGAACAATTTACCACAGCCTTGCTTTGTTTATGCTAACAATCGGGTGCCAACAATTACCTGCTTATACAATAATCCATGACCAACAATATCGGGTTTATCTTCTATCATACTTATCGTATGTTAGATAAACAAACACTCGCCGGGTTAATCTATGTTATTAAACCTCCATTCACCACCTAGGAGCCTCACAATATTCTCGTGGCTCGGGTCATTCGGTCTTTTAGTACTACCAAATCACATAGAAGTCACGGGTTTAATTTTAAAACCGTGACAGTATGCATTTAGACCATATAATTTCTTAATGTTAAAAAATCCTAAGTAATTGGGTATTAATGCAAATTTCGTTTATTTCGTTTTGCTTATACACATATCACCCATGGTATTGTTTATAAATTGCCCTTGAATTTGTCATAGGATTGTGAAATTACTTTAATTATAAAATTTTTTTATTCATTTATGAAAATGTAAGCATATTCATTTCGGCCATTAGCTAGATTATATGCACGATTTAATAATACTACACTCACAATACGCATTCACCTCGGTAGCATAGGTTTTTCACAAAGGTATTACAACTTCGCTTTGAAGATTTGGAATTAAGCTACTTTCAATGCAGTGTAAGTTATTTACTAAACCTTCAACTCATGCTAAGTGTTGGAGAAAATATTAAAGCCAAAAACTCTCGCTACCCACCCAAGGACAAGGATCATGTGATTCTATCATCTTACAGCCAGCTTATTATTCTGCCAATTTGGTCAATTATTCGCTTTTCTGTCACGTATATTCTTTTCTGACTTTGATTCAGTAAAAAAAAAAAACGCCTCAGTATAGTCCAAATAAATGGGGAGTGGACTAGGAAAACACTGGTTGACCCTTTCTCTCTTGGTTCTTAATTACATAAGATTTTGTCCCAACCTTAAATTAACATGATATTTAGTCTGAAAAAAAAAAAAATTCTTCGAAGATATAATGCTCTAAAAATACACATAGAAAAGTGATTATAGTCGATTTAGCATTGCATGATAAAATTGACTTATTCGCTAAGTTGTACACAGAGATTTAGAAAACCAGACAATTTTACGATTGTGTTTGACGAGAAAATTTAAGAGATATATATATTTTTTTATATAATAAGAGCAATCGACTTTACATAATTTCGGCTAAGCAAGTCAACAAATTTTGGTCGACTGAAAACATTTATCAGAAGATTGTCAATTACACAATTTGGTGAATTGAATTCAGGCATGTGACCTTACTTGTATTAAAAGGTTATTTAAAATTCGGAATTTAATTTTGTATAACACAAACATTTTCTCAAAACTCTTCTCAGACTGTGGGCGTACACTGCGGACTTTTTCAATATGATAACATTACCAAATGAATGCTACTACTCAATATTTAATAACCTTCGGTCTAATTATAAAAATTTATTTTCTTGTGCTCTTGTAAACCGCCAATGGTGTAGAATTATTATTCCAATATTGTGGAGCGATCCAAATCATCATTTTGAAGATAAGAGGCTTATAGAAATATTTCTTTTAACGTTAAATGCTCAAGAGCAAGCTCTATTAATTCCTTTTAAAATCACCATTCCAAGTCACCCAAAACCGCTATTTGAATATACAAGTTATATCATAACTGTTAACGATTATTTGTACGATGGTATTAGAAATTTGCTTCATGATGGAATATATAAAACAGGATATAATCTTGAAAATGCCGTTAAATGTTCTTTGATTGCGATGTTTCTACGAACAAGTAAGAATCTTAAGCATTTAAGCCTTAGAGAAATTATTTGCAATCAAATGATATTTGAAAATCTTAATGAGAACACAACTGTTACCTCTATGGCGTTATATAATACTTGTTTTGATATTAAATTCAAACCAATTGATTTAGTAGTTAAAATTCTTTACAGGAATTCTACTTTAACTTCCTTGAATTTTAATGGTAATTTTGGATTTATAGAAGTAAAAGCATTAGCAGATGCACTTTGCAAGAATACTACGCTGACTTTTTTGGATCTTAGTCGGAATTATCTTCTATCCGAAGGAGTAAAAGCACTAGCTAATGCACTTTGCAAGAACACCACTATGACTTCTTTATATCTTGCACACAGTAATCTTGGATCTGAAAGAGGAAAAGAATTAGCTGATGCACTTTGCAAGAACACTACGCTGACTTTTTTGGATCTTAGTTGGAATTATCTTGGTTCTGAAGGAGGAAAAGCATTAGCTGATGCACTTTGCAAGAACACCTCGCTGACTTCCTTGGATCTTTATTATAATAATATTGGACCAGAGGGAGGAAAACCATTAGCAGATGCACTCTGCAAAAACACCGCGCTAACTGCTTTGAATCTTGGATATAACTATATTGGATCAGAAGGAGGAAAAGCATTCGCAGATGCACTTTGTAAGAACACCACGATGACTTCTTTGAATCTTTATGATAATGATCTTGGGCCAGAAGGAGGAATGGCATTAGCGGATGCACTTTGCAAGAACACTGCGCTGATTTCTTTGAATCTTGGAAGTAATAATCTTGGGCCAGAAGGAGGAAAAGCATTTGAAGATTCGCTTTGTAAGAATACCACGCTGGCTTTTCTGAATCTTAATTTTAACGATATTAATTTTGAATTAAAATCAAAGAATCAAAGCATAGAAATAACACAAAAAGAATTAGAAATATATTACAATCGACCCTCTCAGAATCGGTATGCATGGTGGACAGGGTTTGTATCAGTTTTAAGAGGTTATCGGATTTGAAAACATAACAAACTATTGGATTTATATAACGGGAATGGACTTGGTAGATTAATTTTTTATCAGATTTGACAGGTTATCGGGGTTGACAGGATCGGTTTTGAGAGCGTCGACTGTATATGTAAATACAGAAATTATAGAACCACGAATTTGATCTTTATGTCATTTGATGACCAAGTTCATCTTTCATTTCTTGAATTTAGCAAAACTTTCACCTACAATTAATATTATATGATAATAATACTAACGAATTTATTATTGATTTTCAAACTATAATTCCAGAAATGAACTTTGGAATTTGAGAATTAAACTCATATCCAAAAGTTAATAAAGGATAGTCGGTACTGTTTATTTTCATACCATACGTCATAGATATTTTTACGCATTTGCATTTAGACCATGTAATTTTTTAATAATAAAATTCCCAAGTAATTGTGTATTAATGCAAACTTCGTTTCGCTTGTACACATATCATCCATGATATTATTATTAATCGCTCTTGAATTTGTCACAGGATTGAGAAATTATTTAAATCATAAATTTTTTTATTCATTTATGAAGTATATGCATTTAGGTTGTATTCATTTTGTCCATTAGTCAGAATGTATGCACGATTTGATAATACTACACCTACAATAAGCATTCACTTCGGAAATGTAAGTTTTTCACGAAGGCATTAATTATAAACACCTTCGCTTTGAAGAGTATGAATAAAACTACAATCCGTGCAGTATAAGTTGTTTCTGCACCTCCAGCTCATGCTAAGTGTTGAAGAAAATAACAAACCAAAAATTCTCGCTACACACCCAAAGACAAGGATCATGTGATTCTATCATCTTACAGCCAGCTTAACTTTGTCAATTACTCACTTTTCTGTCATGTATTTTCTGACTTTGATTTAATAAAAAAAATGTCTCCGGCATAGTCCAAATAAATGGGAGAGTAGACTAGGAAACACCGTTTGACACTTTCTGCCTAATTTTAAGATTTTTAATTCCGATTAAAATCTTGGTTATTATTTACATAAAATTTTGTCCCAACGTCGAATTAATAAATTAATGTGATATATTAATCTGAAAAAAAAAATTTTCTTCGAAGATATTATATTCAAAAAATACACGTATAATAACAAGAAGTAATGATTGT